CCTGCTGTCCCAGGCCTGGTATCTCTAAGCCTCAACCCCCCACCCATAGTTGGGCTCTGCTGCGGACACTGAGCTGTGGGTGCCGCCCCGGGCATCCAGTTATGGCCATGGCATGTCCAGTGCCCAGCCGGGAGGGGGTTGTGTCAGCCTGGGGCTGCCATGGCGAGCCAGCCGAGGGTCTGCTGACGTCTCCCCGGGTGCGTGACAGGCCTGGCACCCAAGAAGGCTGAGGACAAGCGGCCGTACACCAGCATATTGTACGGGAACGGGCCGGGCTACGCCATCGCGAACGGGAGCCGTCCGGACGTGAGCAGCCTGCCCATCGGTAAGTGCCGCTGCCCGCCCCAGCTGGGCCCAGAATCCGCCCTGCAACCAGGGTGCCCGGGGGGAAGGTGCTGGGCCCCTCGCTCAGGGAGGTGTATGCCAGCCCCGAGGCACTGGGGAGGAGGCGTGGAGGGTCACTTCTGAGAGCAGAAAGCTGGCGGGGGTGGGTGGTCACTGCACCGGGCTTGCCTCAGTCACACCTGAGCCCACCAGCTCTGGGTCTGGGGAGGCATCGGGAGCTGCTGGGAGACGGTCTCATGACTCACGACCCCTCTGTCCCCCCATCGCCCGGGCAGAGGACAAGGATTACCGGCAGCAGGCGGCCGTGCCCCTGGACACCGAGACCCACGCCGGTGAGGACGTCGCTATAATGGCCAAGGGCCCCATGGCCCACCTCTTCCACGGGGTGCAGGAGCAGAACTACGTGGCCCACGTCCTGGCATACGCCGGCTGCCTGGAGCCCTACCACGCGGGCCCCGAGTGCCCGGCACCGAACGGCAGGTCAGGCAGCCTGGGCCTTGGCCAGCCCCCCAGCCTCCTGCTCCTTGCCCTGGGGGTGGCCTCCCTCCTGCTGAGGATGTGACAGCCGGACGTTGATCTCAGCCAGGCCTGGGGGACCCCTCCATGCTCTCTGCTAGCAGAGCAGCCAGCGCCCCCAGGCTGTGGGGCTGGGTCGACCCCGGCCCTCCCCCGGTACCACACGAGAGAGACGATCTCGCTTGCCTGTGTATATAATTTTGCAACAGTCTCCTGCTCTCCCAGCCGCCCCAGAAATAAAATCTGCCGCCGTTTTGTTATTACCCACATCTCTTATTTTGCCGGACGGTTGCCCCCACCCCTCCTGACGGGAGCCACTAGCAACGGGTACCCCTGTGCCAGGCACTGCAAGGCTTGCAGCATCCTGGCTGTGTGGTACCACAACGCTCCCGGCACCGGCTCCCCCGCGGCACAACAGCTGAGGGGCGTAGAGATGCCAGGTGTCCGGCTTTCGACCGGAACGTCCAGTCGAAGAGGGAAACTGGCAGCGTCCGGTCAGCACGGCTGACTGGGCGGCTGAAAGTCCGGTTGGCACACAGTTCCCGGGAAGCGGCGGCATGTCCCTCCGGCTCCTAGGCGGGGGGGGGCGGCCAGAGGGGCTCTGCGCACTGCCCCCACCTGCAGGCACTGCCCCGAGCCCCGGCTCTGCAGCTCCCATTGGCTGAGAACGGGGTAACCTGTCTGCCCCCCCTCACCCTGCTGTACCCCGAGCCCCGGCTCTGCAGCTCCCATTGGCTGAGAACGGGGTAACCTGTCTGCCCCCTCTCACCCTGCTGTACCCCGATTTCCTCACCACGGCCCCTCGCTCCAGGGATTGGCCCCCGCCTGGGCAGGCTCTGCATCTCCTCCTCCCAGCCCAGTTCTGCAGACAGCAGGGGAATCCTGGGGGGGGGGGCGGGGCGGGGTGGGGGGGACACAGGTGGGGCAGGGGGTGGGGCCTCTGAGGAAGAGGCTGGGCAGGGGGGTTTGCTTTTCAGGGATTAGAAAGTTGGCAACCCTGGGCAGGGGCAGGCGTCGCTTGGCTGGAATCCCCCCGGACATTACAGCCCCCCTCCCCCCCGGCACAGTCACGACCCCTCCCCGTTTCTGTAAACGCCCCGGGCGCGACCCATTCACATGCAGCTCGGCCCTTGGGGCGACGCTCGGCCCAGCTGGGAAGCCTTTGCTGTTGCTTGGGAAAGGGACCACGTCGGGGCGGGGAGTGGGGGGTGGCACCTCTCCATGTTACCGCTCTGTGGCTGCGACGGCTCCTGTTCCCGTTGGCTCCTGGCTCCCTGCCCACCTGGGGCTCAGGCCGCAGCCGCGAACCGTGTGGACGCAGCTTAAACCGGCCAAGCTGTGCTTTGTAGCCGGGCAGCGGGACCATTGGCACCGGTAACGGCCCAGCGCTGCTGTCGAGCGGTCTCGGTGCTGGAGGCTTCTGCCCACCCAGCGCTCCCGGTCAGGGATCACTGGCCGGCACCAGCCTGGAGCCCAGCCCTGGTTTCGCTGTGCCCGGCGGTGCCCTGGCTGTTTGCCGGAGTCTGTGCCGTGGTGGGGGGCTCCCTGTGGGTAAGCGACAAGGCCCTGCCACTGGGGGGGCGGCGGGGTCTGACCCAGCAAGGGAGCCGCTCCCCTGGGCTGGGTGAGATCTCAGCCCAGGGGCTCGGGGCGTTTGCTGTTTCCTCTTCCAGTCTCCGTGGCTGGGTTTGGTG